AGCTAAACATAATTTTATTTGTACGTACCTGTTTATTGGTAGTTGGTCGATTAATCGATGAGCTGCAACTGATCGATTAGTTGCAACTAATTCATTAAATAAATAAATAAATAAATAAATAATCTTTCAATCGATTCTCTGCAACTAATCGATTAATTTTTTAGTCGATGAGTTGCCACTAATCGATTAATCGATTAGTTGATTAATCGATTAGTTGGTGTCCAAAAAATTCAATCGATTAGTTGTCAACTAACCAACTAATCGATTTTTCAACTTTCGATTTGTAACACTATTTATTGGTTCAAAAGTTATTAAAGATTAAATGTTTAGGTATAAAAACCCGGTCATCGATTTACTAAGTGACCTGCTTATGTTTGTAAATCGTGTGATAGCAAACACTCAGGTAAATCGTGACATATTTCAATTAGTGAAATAAAATTCTAACGGTTTTACTTTATAGACACTTTTCATTAAACATCTTACTTTTATAGAATGTTAAATATTACGAAAGAAATTAAAGGCGAAGTAAAATCGATTTTTTATAGTAATTTTAATATGGGGCAGATCATAATTTATTAGTGATCATCACTATCGCTATATCATCTGCACTTTGTTTGTAAATTGACCGATAGGATACACTCCCAGTATGATATGCATTAGATTCATTATTAAATTTAATTATACTAATCAGATTTTTGTTAATTTACAAAACAACGAATTCTTTTATTTTTCTCTTAGCCACTAAGAAATTAGGTTTATTTTATATTTGCAAAAAAAATAACGCATAGGTATGCGTTATTTCGCGATTTTACGGTATACTCCCTAACAATAAAACAATAACACAATAAATATTATTGTATATTTCGACTTCCTTGTTTTCACTTGGTGACACTCAAATCATTATGTAGATTTATTTAGTAACGGTAATGCAGAAATGATATCATGTACATGTACGTACAAAGTTTAAGGAGACTAATAAAGAATTGTGAATTTGAAAGTCAAATGTTTGTTAAACATAATTTAGGAGTATTAATTAAATCTTGTTATTTTTGATTATAAATGACCAAAATAATCCGTATAAAATATGTTAACGATCCAAGAATAGAAATTAGCCATAATTACTACAACTAAATAGGAACTATATAATTACGATTTATACATTTTTAGTCCCAATAGTAATGAATAGTAATGAATACTATATAGTAATGAATAGTATGAATACTATATAGTAATGAATACTAGTAATGAATACGTAGTAATGAATACTAGTAATGAATACGTAGTAATGAATACGTAGTAATGAATAGTGGTGGATCGTTAACATTTTATTACTGTATTATAATAATCTCAAGAGTGAATTACACTTATGTCTTTTTCGCGTAAGATCTAAAAATCATAAAGTAAGACTTATACGTTTCGAATTCAGTATCTAATTCACTTAACACTTTTTCAAAATTCTTTTTAGGATAAACCCATTTTATAAACCCTTTACATGTATCTTTCATATATGATGCTGCTATCATTCCAATTTTACCCGCCCATGAACCAAGTGGATAAATTCTCTCTTCTTGTTGCACTAGTGTTAAACCTGGCATTGATAGCATTGATTCTTTATGACGTTTTGCTATAAGAGGGTTTATACCCTGAGAACGAAGTCGGTCACTTACTATATTCATATATGAAAATTGGTTAATTTAAACGTTAATATAATAAGATTAATATCAATTAATACAAAAAAAATTTATTCAAGTCTCTATTTTCACCTGAATTACAAAGTTTAGACATGACTGGTCCTGAATTGTACCAATGAAGTTCTGGATCAACTATTTCTAACCAACCGCCAGGTTTTAAAACACGATATATTTCTTTATACAAGTTGTCCCAATTTGATTCTTTAAGATCAAATACCAATATTCGTACATGTACGAAATCAAATGAATTATCTTCAAATGGTAATCCTTTCAAAATATCGTGTTGAACGAATTGAACATTGAATGGTCTTATGCTCGGATAAAGGTTTAAGATATCAACTCCAACGTATTGGGATTTTTGATAGTCAGCAGCCAATTCACAAATCCACGTACCGTTACCTGAACTATAATAATAATCTTGAGTTTTGCTATGAAGAAACAAGATGTATATAAAAATTCATCTAAAAAAAAAAGACTTACCCAACATCCAAAACTCGTGCACCTTTTCTTAAAGTATCGCTAATTGGTGATAAGAAATTCGCTTGCCATATTTCTCTCATAACATAGTGTCCTAAACTTAATCGATCGTTCTCCTAAAAATCATTTATAGTTGAATAAAAAAAAAAAAAAGGTAAAAAAAATACATATACGAAAAAAAATTAATCATACGAGATCTTTGTTCTTGGTGGAGTGAATCGCTTCGTAATTAATTTTGCTTCGGTTAGAATGTTTATTACCCATCTTTTTATTATTTGTAAATAAATGTGAAACTTTTGAATAAATTTCCGTATGTTAAACGACGTCGATATTTATTGTCGATATTTATGTCGATATTTATGTTTATCATTAAATAAATCTTTTTAACTCCTTAATACACATATTGATTTAAATCGTGCCGTAATAATTATGTCGTAACCACATTTAGGAAGGACGAAGATAATTGGTCCTCTAACATTTAAGGTTTAAAACTCCTCGGCCATTAGTAATAGTTGAATTAGATCATATTATTATCAATGAACGAATTCCTTTTAGGTAATATGAGACGCACCTTGGAAATCTTATCTATAATGATTTTTCCGACAACACTCACATGAATTATATGAATTCTTAGTGGGTACATTAATATGTAAAGTTAAACAATTTTACATTACATGATTAATTCCATTGGTATACAAGAAATTCAAAAAAAAGAATATTCTTATTTTTTCCAACAGGAGTACTGCAACTTGTTCATCCAATTTGGTTGATCTTTTTTTTTTGTGGAGTTTTACTGGAAAAAACAATTTATTCAATCTTTGATCGAACAAATTTAAACTTTATATAAAAATCCACTCTTTTCTTGGCGAGGATCTTATATTTCTTGCTTTAAAATAAAATAAAGTAACCGTTATCGTTACGCGAAATTGAAATTTTTAATGTTGACAAAAAAGGTCTTAGATCTTTGAATATTATAACTACTTAAATATTAACTGTTAATTTACCGCTAATTGCAATTAATATATAATTAATTTATTCATGCCTCTTAATTATCATAATTGCCACAATGTATTAATTGGTTCGTTATATTCGATTTATAATAGATTCCATTTGTGAGTCAGAGTTTATCGTTCAATCCTAGTTAAGGTTGTTTCCGAAAATATATGCTTTTAATTTACCGAAACCGAAAATGTTACAGAAGTAAAAATATTATTAAAAGTCAATCTAAAGTAAATATTAAATATTATTTTCTGTTTGAATACAATTGTAGAGGAAATCCATTTCTATAGAAAGTAACATTAAAAATATTTAATTTGGACTAAATTGTTTTTCAAAAAAAAATGATTGAAAATTAAACTCATATCGAAAGTCAAAAGGGTTGCAAAAAAAAAAAAAAATTGGGAGTACTGAAATTCTTTGTGATATTTCATCCGACATCTATTACATACGATCCGCAAAATCCTAGTTTAAAATGTCAGTAAATTTTTTAATATATTATTAAATGTGTGCAACTTTAGTTGATGGTCATGATAAATATAGATTACTCTTTTGACTATCTTTCAAATTATTTTTATTTTTATAATTATTTATTTATTTATTGGTCATATAGTTTTCAATCAGGTTTCAACTTTCAGACATTTTATCAAAAGGATTTTCAGTTTCAACTGTTGAATCATACAATTTCGGCAAGATATATTTACTAAAGATATCTATATTGCTAAAAATACTTTCGGAGTCAATCCTAATTCTAATCTTAGTGTTTAACATTTTAATATCGATCATTATTTGAGTTTGTCAAAATATTTTTCACGCATTATGTGTTACGAGAAAATGACGGTTAATAAATATTTCTAACCAATTAACAATTCGAATTGGGTTAAAAATTTTTATATATTATTCAATAAATATCTCTCTATAACATACAAAAATTTGATGCAATTTGAACTACTGGTTAACAAGAAAATTAATACGTATATAAATTTTTTTTAATTTATCCGGTTGATTGGTTATTTCATATATTAATTTTCTTAACAACTAGCAATCCAAATTATATATATTGTAATATATAAAGGTTTGTTTAATTTAAGTCACTGGTTATTGAGAAACTTGATATATAAGACAGTTTATAGGTTTAAGAATTACGGAGAAGTATTTAAAAAAAGAACAAAGTAATCAACAAATTTCTTGACAATTAACAGTCCGTTTTGGACCAGATTTTTTATGTATTATAAAATAAATATCTTTCTTCAATATGCCAAGAAAAAAATTTAGACCTTAAAAATTTCATATCATTCTTTGTATCAATTATCTTCGTAACCAATAATTCAAATTATATATATTGTAAAGAGACATCTGTTATATAATATATAAAACTTTGGTTCAATTTGGATTACTAATTGTTGAGAACTTAACATTTACGGTTTAAATTTATTAAATTTATAATAAAAAAAAAATATGAAATCAATTTTAAAAAAGCAATCGTTATAGAAATAAATGATAAAACTTTAATACAGTCAGATCTTTCTAAGTGCATGCCCTTGGGACCACACTTTAACAACATGCATTTAAAAAATAATAAGATAAAGTGCATTTATAGAGTATATTTGAGGCCGGAATCTGAGCGTGCATTTAGAAAGGGTACACTTAGAGAGGTCTGAGTATTAGATAAGTATATTATGAGCCTTTTATAAATAAAATTTTAATCACATCCCATTAACACTTAAATTTTTATCACCGCCATTTTTTTCGTAACATATCAACTGTATCCAAAAAATTATTATTAATGAATTATGGATCTTGATGGAGATCTTAAATAATAAACTTTATTTCCATTCAAATTTTCTTTCCCTTCACCAACAAATATTCAAATGTATGTTCTGGTTTATCTTTTTCGATCTGTTTTAAAAAATTGAATGCTACCTTTGAGCTAACGTCCTTAAGCATACCAGTTTCCAAGAATATGTTTTCTAACTCTTTGGGATCAAATCCTCCCTTATGACATACAGAATTATTAGCTTCCCCATGAAACTTGTGTGAAATTTCTGGTTGTTTTTTCAAATCTAGAACAATTAATTCTCCATCTTGTTTAAGGTAACTGGCTAGCACTTTTGTCATTGATTTAACATCCTCAATATGATGATACGCTGATGCACACTTTTTAAAATATTTTAATAAATAAATGGTTTTATCAATTCATTATCAAATCATTTTGTTAGAAAGAATATGTTATATGTATTTACCACAACAAGATCGAATTTTCGTCCATTCAGTTGGTCACCCTCGGATTCTTTTAATTCTAAACAAATTGCTTGCATTTCTTCTTTGTCGATTCCTTGTTGCCAAACCTTTTTATTGTATTCATCTACCATCTTTGAAGATAAATCTACTCCAAGAATTGATTTTACATGTGCGCATAAATCTTGAGATATTATTCCTATTATCATTATTATCAATATTATATTGTGATGATATATATATTAAGTTATAAAATTTAAATATCTATATCTAATATATTTCGTATCGTAATAATAAACTATACCAGTTCCACAAGCAAAATCCATAACTTCACGACCTTCAAGGTTTTCAACTTCTTTCAAAATTGCTTCTGCACTTTTCTTTCCAACAAGAAAACGAAAAGGATGTGCATCATATTCTGATGACATGTTATTAAAATATTCTTTATTACGTTCCGTAATACTAGTCAAATCGTTTGCTTCCATTTTGAATGATGGTGGAGTGAATACGTACGTACGTATCGCTACAAAATTACCATTACTGGCGTATTTATTACCGTATTTTTTGTGGAATAAAATGTATTCCAACTTCTATTTTAGGCAAATATTAGTAATCCTCTACAGCAGTGTGTCTGTGCCCGCAAATTGCGGATTTTGATTGATTTGATCGGATTGATCCGTATTGATTTCTTAATTCAGTAATTACAGGATTTCAAATGGTTTCCTAATAATAAATACCCCTCTTCATATCATACTAGAACAGGTATAAATTAAGTAAATATAACCCATTTAACTCCGAAGGAATTTGATTTGCTAATAAACTAAGGAATTAATTAATCTCTACGTATAGCTATATTAAAAAAATTGTATTGCTGCACTGGAATACGTACGTACGTACGTACGTAGGTGTTTTTGCAAATCAGTATACTGATCGGTGTTATATATATTAGTGTTAGAGTTAGGAATTATGGCTGATCAGTACGGTATGGTTTTTTAATTTTGGCCTGTACCATACTGATCTGCTGTAATCCCCACGGGAATTGGACATTGTATATTCATATAAATTCATGTAACATTCGTGCGCGTAATGAGTATCCTGGTGTCGACATTTATTGATTTCTATCAACAAAAACTGGTGTTCCAGTGATGGTCAATCAGCGGGATGCAGGATAGGTTTTTTTCCATTTTCCGGACTTTTACGGAAAATTTTATCTCGGCCCGAATTATACAATATATCCCGCGTGGGATCACGAACAGATCACGTTCGAGTTGGAATCAATAAGATACTAACGTCAATTTGGTCATTTTTCAAGTGTCTCAGATAAGGGATGTTAATGGAATAAGGTACAGTACTCCAGTAAAAATGAATTGTATGATTGTATTTGATTGGTCAATTGTCAAATTGCTAACCTTTAAACCATTATATTTAATTGGTCAAATTTTTTTCTTAGCTGTAAATTGCTTATGAAACTGATCATGAAACCGTATAATATTTATAAATTATTTATAAATCATTTATAAACCATTACATATATCACTTAATTTTAATAATCACAGCGTTCCCATCAAAATTTCGCCCATACGAATTGTCGAACTAAGTTGTCGATAAAGTAATTGTCAATGAAGTGAACACCCATTTAATCAACCCAAATCATTAATTATAACTTTCGATTTTTTTTTCGTTTGATTTCTATTTTTTTTTTTTTAGCTTGTCCATCTACTGCTTTAACGGCACTATCTAATATAACGATGAATTTATAAAATTAAACTATTTGGTTATCAAATCCAAGTATCTGATTACAAATTGCATATTAATAAATGTGGCAGATTAAAATGAAATTCAGATTAAAATGAAATTATAATATAAAATCTCGAAAAATAAATTTTTTTGGAGTGCATTTTTTAGGGTTAGGGGTTAGAATTAGGGGTTAAGATTAGAGTAAAATATATTAAACAAGTATAAGTGGGTTTTAGAAGGTTAGGAGGTTGAATAGAAAATGTAAATTTCATTTTAAATTATGATCTGCGACATTTATTATTATTACGTATTAATTTAAATAAATTCTTAATTTGGATCTGTTTTTTATTTGCATAGATGTTTGGCTTTTTGGTTTCAATTTCAAAAAAAGCTAGTGATTTAGTTTTATTTAATATCAACAATTCATATAATTATCTAGTTTTAGATCTTACAAAGTGATTTAAAAGGTTCATTTTCATTAAAATACAAATATATTAATAAAAATTTTAAAAAAATGAAATATTTTTATTGATATTGAATTAATACCTTAATCTTAATAATATCAGCAACTCAGTACATAATTGTAATAGTACTCCGGGTTATACTCTGAAGTATACTGTAAGAATATACTCCAGTGTGATGTGGTGCTAAGGGATACTCTGCCAAGGTATACACCACACCACCCTGGAGAACTACGTTAGCATTTCTAGCCTCAGAATTTATGAAAACAGCTATAATGCAAATCTAACAATTTCATATATACAGTATTTTCGCGTAATAACGTTCAATAGCGTAATTTTGGCCTAAATTAAGCCCAAAATTCGAAATAATGCTCATGGGTGTTATTACGTGAAGATACGATAGTCTCGATGGTCACTTTATATAAGATAAAGGTCTCTGCAATGTGCGCATAACATGTTTGTAGCGTTTATTCCATATAACCTGCCGTATTGATGACGGGCTCTAATACTAGTAATCCGAAAAAAAAGAACAATTTTTTTACGTAAATAACTACAGTCGTCCTCCTATATAGTCTCTTCCTATATAATCTCATCATAGTAAAACCCTTTTTATAATCACACCAAAGTTCGCAACACTTTACTAATAAACTTATAAAAAATACTTCGTTATAAACACATCGTAGTAAAAACCTCACAATTTGAGTGATACGGACTTCGTGATGAGGACAACTGTAATTTGTTTGACGCAAACACTAATAAAAAAAACTAATTTATTTGAGGCTAATAAAAAACCCTGTATTAAACGCTAAATTGGTAAACAGTAGTCCAAATTTCCGAGATTAGTATTGGTTAGTATCTATTCAAACTAGTTATTCGTTAGTATCTATTCAGATTAGTATTGGTTAGTATCCGTTCAGACTAGTATTGGTTAGTATCTTCTATTCAGATTAGTATCTATTCAGATTAGGATTAGATTCAGCATTATATGCAAATTGCATTCTAGACATCTTCTGTTAGTGTATCAAGATAGATTTTAGACTGTCATTTTTTATATTTGCCTTACTAGAAATAGTGAAATGCTTTTAAAAAAGAATGAAAGTTTTCACATGTACTAACACAAAAAAAAAAAACCTAATAAAGTAGTATTTAGTTATTTTTAATAAATAAATATTTTTTAAAAAACTATATTTATTGCAGGCTTTTTATATTTAATAATTTAATTTACTAAAAATTAAAATTCAGATTCAACAAAGTTTGAATTATTCGCATAGAAGCTGAACACCAATTGATTGTAATTTATGAATTTAACTATACAGTATAATAGCAGAATTGTGGTATATGGACTATATACACAATCTTTTAGTCTTCCGCAAAAAAAAAAAAGTTAAATATATTGAATCAAACTTCATATGATTCAAAAAATATCGCCAAGTTATTTCTGTAGAAAATTAGTAACTTTGAATTTCGCATAAAAAAAATTTTTTTTTTGGATAAACATTCCTTCAGAATTTCACTTTATTACGCATTCGATATATTCATCATAATTCTGTAATCAAAATTTTAAATACCGATTACATAACGATAACTGATCTTGATGGTTAATGCTAGAATCGTTCTTTTAATTTGCGGATCACACCACTACGGAACTAACGTTAAGATCATCTCATATCTCTGATTGGACAGATTTTCAATCTCAGATACTTCAATTCTTCAAAAAAAAAAACTTTGCGTACGCACGAACGTACGTATTATACGAACTAGTTATCGAATTCAAATTGGCAAAATGAACCGACGCTTGAAAAATGTTTTTTTGTTCTTTATAGCACTGGTGCTTATATGTCAAATATTTACAGGAATAGTTATTGCTGGTATGTGATTGCTTGACTATTTATTCTAACGTTTAAAAAATGTTTAAAGATTATATAACGTTGAACTTTAGACGAGTTTGATGATGAAGACGAAATAACAGAAGTGCCTGTCAAGCCCGTCGCTGAACCTATTAAAGAGGAGATCCAAGAACCTAAGCCTCTTAATATCAAAGGTTTACTTTTTTTTCTTTTACCAATCTTATTTTTATGAAATCTATGTTAGAAACATCTAACTTATCATTATTGCTAAAGTGTACCCAAAACTTGTTTTATCTGACTTTTACCGTGAAATGGCAATGATTGCAATGATAAGCACATATCTTATTGTTTATTACATTGGCAAACAGACCAATAGTAAAATTGCAAGAAAATGGTAAATTTCCATTTTTTTCCTATTCTCAATTCAAAGTGTACTAATTGGATTAATTTGATTAGTTTTATTTATTGATTTTATAGGATGGAAAAGCATCTTTCACTTTTTGAAGATAATTTTGCCCTTGTTGGAAATGATAGAGGTACTCTTATATATGATGGTCCTGCGGATTATCTTTTCTACATGAGTGGTCGCAGAAATTGTCAATATATTCATGGAAGAATAACGGTTTGTAATATTAAACCTTATTTTCATCAATCAATTTTTATGAATATACCCATTGACAATGTATACAGCTTAAGCCACGGCATGATATACTTCAAACAATTACAAATTTTTTTACATCTCAATTTAGCAGTAAAGCTGTAAAAGACACTGTCGTAAGTATTTAATTGTAAAGTTTAGTTAACCAATTTTCGTTATTATCATTTAAATAATCCAAATACAATATACCTTTTTTTTAGACTTATAATGTAACAATGAATAATGGTGCTTACGATGACTTCGTTTTTGGTGTCATAAAAAAAGAACGCGCTTCCGATCTTCGTCAATCACGTTATGATTTGGTAGCGCATATATATACATATTTTCAAATATTATTATTATGATTACGACAAACATAATAAATTTTAATTATTCCATTATGTTATATTTAGAAAACTTTTACAAAACAAAGTCAGCATAATCTCCTCCCAAACGTTTTTAATGTTCACAGCGAATCTGTGGAAATTACTGAGAGACTTCTTAGCAATAGAATTATTGATTTATTGAAAGCATCCTCCAAATATTTGACATACCTAATAATTACTGATCAGCCACGAATTCGTCCGGAAAAGTATGCTTTGCTAAACTTGTAATTATGTTTATTATAATTAGTTTTATTATCATGTTAATCATATTTTTTGGTATATGCAGACTCATTGAAGATCAACAAAACATTTTAACTGTCGTGCATGAACTTCCAGATGACATATCAATGTTTTCGGATACTCTGATTGTAACAGAACTACTTCTAACATTGATTGATTTTACTCCTGCACAATGTTCTTTCAGAACTGAGGTATGCTATTGTCTTAAGGATGCATGTTTTGTTACACTATTATTAACGTTATATTTGATGCTTGATGTTTTAGACTAGGCAAAAACTTAAAAAGAACAGAGAAGAAGCTGAAAAAGTAATACAAAAAAATTTAACACTTGAAAGACAAGAGGTACATTACTTGCATTAAACCCCATTTATTACAAATCCATCAATTGCTATTATATATCCTTTACAACTAATCTGACTCGACCCTTTTTCAAATAGGAAATTCAGCAGAAAAAGGCTGATAAGAAACGTGCTGAAGCTGAACGTATAGCTAAATTATCTCCTGAAGAACAACGAAAGGTAATTTTTATTTTTATAGTATTTTATTTTGTCAACTCAATATTTTAACACTTTTACTCATATTAGTATGAAGAAAAAGAACGAAAAAGAGAGCTGAAGAAAAAGCAAAAGAAAATGGTTAAAAAAGTATAGAATTTTTTTTATTTACATCTATACAATTTATTCCATACCTGAGAATAGTACATGTGTTTATCATTTTTGCGGGGAGAAATGCTTATGTGAATTCGAATTCGGATTGGTAATATAACATTTTGGAATGTAATTTAAAAATTGAACATTACTTAAAACGTTTTTAAATACCGTTGAATATTTTATTTAATCATTATCCATTAAAAATGATTTTACTACGCTTTTCATACTTCTTTTATTGATAATCTTGAATACTTACTACCTCTGTAAAATCGATATTCTCGATTATCTATGCTCTTAAAACAACTAGATTTTAGTATAATAAAAAATATATATTTACAATTTAATAGTATTACATAGAATCAGAAAATATTAAAATCGTAAATAAATTGTTATAAATTAATACTGTCAGAGATGTTATAAGAGTTATAATAAAAATTATAAAATATCAATATTTTTTTTTTTTTTTTTTACAAAATTTTAAACTTCACTTAAAAATCTGACAATTAACTCATTTCTAAATTTTGTAATTAAATAAAATGAATCTATCATGCTTCTTCTTTCGAGCAGGTTGAACGCACCAAACCCTTCTTGAACGTGTTGTACACCATAAGGCCACTTCAAGTTGATTCTGTGTTTAACATAACAAAAAATATCTCGTAAAAGGAGTATCAAACAACACCAAAAATACAGTAATTCTATAGACTGTAAAAATAAAAAAAATCCAAATCAGCCAATACTGCAATTTGATTGGTGATTTGAAACAAAGAATCAATTTGAAGCGGCCTGACACACACAAAGGATTCGTATTTCTCTTTCTCATAAGGTTAGAAATGCATCCAACTTTCTCAACTGTACCGAGAAGCATAGTGCAAGTTGGCAAGCAACATTAAGTTTACCGGTTTTGTACAAACTGATCTTACTACCTATTGATCAAATGAATTAAAGAGGTTAAGAATAGTTTTAGAAACAAAAAAAATATATAGTTTACATTAAAATTTTACAAGAAATCTTTGTTTGTTAAAACCTCAAAAGTAAGTTTTATATTCAAAATATTGAGAATAGCAATACTCTGTGTATATACATTAGTGCAGGAATGTATATTTTGATGTTCAAAGCCTTTTTGACATGTTTAACATTCAAATATTCAAGTGAGCAAAGCTTATATAAGCCTTAATTTAATTTTGAATATTTTTATTTAAAACAAAGTAGATTATATTCAATATTTAAGATACAGTCAGACCTCGTTATAGTCACTCTTGATATTCTTGATATTGTCATGACCTTGTTATAGTCATATTATTTCTTAATCCTAGCCATTATAAAACATAGATTTTGACCTTTATATATAAACTCAATGCTAAAATTCTTTTGCATTTATTTACTTTATACAGTCAAATTTGGTTTCAAGAAATTCTGTGCTTATAAAGAATTGTGCTAATATAGATATTAAATTTTATATGTTTCATATAAGTTGATTTTAAAAAATTAGTGATTATAAGTAAATGTGATTATATAGAGTATGACTATAGAAAGGTTTGATTGTATTTAAAAATACCCCAAAATATAATGGCTATACATTTAACCTTTAATTATTCTCATTTATTTTATTGAATATAGATTGAATTGTCGTAACCCATTTAAAGACCTGGACTAAATTCACTTAAAGACATGTTCAAACCCAATCATTACTTAGAAGTTTTTTAATATGGTTTTTTGATAAGTGGCTAATTTTCGCTGTTGTTATTTTCTAACTAGATAGTATCTTAAGGATTTCTGAAATATTGCTTTGGATCATATAAACTAATTAATTTGTTACCACTGTTCGCATTTTATCAAAGTTTCTGATATGCTTAGGTATTATTAGTTTGGATTCATTTGGTTCCGTTAAAAATTTGATCATCTTGCCATTTTTTTAAAAATTTCAGTTCTTCTGCTGATGGCTTCTTCTGGATCTTTAATCCAACGTTGTTTCATCAGGTTTACACGACATTGTAGAGCTTCATTGTTAATTGGCGGTCGAAAATCATCACATATTATTTATAGGAAAAATCTAAACAGTGCCCCATGCACTTTGTACTTTCATAGCCAACTGAGAAAAATTTTAAGACAAAATAAAAATTACGACCCGCATTAGGGTTAGAGGTAAAATTGCATGAGGAACTTTTCTTATTAGTGACACTACGGGGTTAATACTGAAATATTAAGGGGCACAAAGTGCAGGGTGTACTGTTTAGTCCTGTTCTTATTTATATTATTTTATTATACACGTCATTCTGGTTATAACGACATTTTTTAAAATTTTGAACCTACATACTTAATATCGATATGAAGATGCCTCTGGTTAAGCCGACATCTGGATATATCGGACAATTTCTTGATTTTTTTGAGGTGCTGATATAACCAGAATGAGGTGTATTCATTTGACTTTTAACAAGTTCGCATTATCTTCCTTGCTATATATATATATTACACAAGAACATCTTAATCCATAAGCATTGATCTTAAATTTTGTATTAGGCCGTTCGAAGTTGATTCCTTGGTTAACATCACTTTCTAGGACTCCCAGGAGGGGGGGGGGGGGGGGGGGGGGGGGGAAAAAAAAAAAAAAAAAAAAAGAGAAATAGAAGGAGCGTAGGGTTGGTGGTTGGTTAGAAGTAGGGGGGGGGGGGG